TTTAACCACTTTCGAATATATTCTATTTGAAACTTGAATTGTATCCTCAATTTCGTCAAAATCTTAGACTTCTTTTGACTATACTCAACCGATTTCCTTTTCAAGTAGAGCACCAATTTTGAGTATCCTTCTATATGAACATTTTCTTCATTCAATGTACTTTTTATCATAAAGTAAATAGAACATGATGTTGCTGGTTCATTTTCAGGATTTGTAGGAACTCAAAATAAGCCAGTATAAGATTGAGATGTTTTCCTCATTTTCTTTTCAGTATACTACTTTCCATTATAAGCTGTTTCGTATACTTCCTATACTTTTTTTTCCGTATACTTTCGTATACTTCCGACACTTCAAGATGCAAATATTCTTCATGAATTAAAAAAATCATTTCGCTTTTCATGGTGAACAATTAAGTCGTAATATTTAAACAATATTTTTCTTAATAATCATTTCCCTTTGGGTATATTATATTTCTGTCTAATTCAAATCATAGAAAATGACAAAAAGAGTGAATACTATGGAATTCTCGATCAGAACTGAAATCTCTTCAATGCTCATAGTTAATTTTGAGTTCCAATAAAAAAAGATAAGTTTATTGAGTTCTACTAAAAATTGCCTGGTAAACCATGTTTTCAATGTTTTCTTGATAACTAGATTTCGGAAGTATCTACATTTCAGGAGAATTAAGGAATCTGAGGATAATAAGGTTGTTCCCGTATTGGAAATTTTATGTAAAATGTATATATTTATAACGTTGCAATAACTGTTTCTGTTTTTTGTGTTTCATCGAAATTTCTGAAAATAATATACATTCCTATTAAAATAAGGAAATCATTACTTATTTTGCTAAAAGATTCATAATTAGCTTTCATTACATTTATATTGGCAATTGTTTCATATTATGCTGCCCCGTTGGCAGTACCAACACCGGGCAATAGTAGTGGCTAATCGCTTATGTGTAAATCTGCAATAAAATGGATTTAATGGCGAAACGTCAACGCAAATATTGAAGAATCGTAACTTGGAATTAAGTTTAATACCTATCGGAATCTACATGGTACAGTGCCGGCCCTTTGAAAGTGGACGACTCTTATAAGCAAATTGTCTATAATTGGCCTTTGTGAAGCTAACTTGAAAATGTGAGGTTCAAATCGGCTGTCATTATGTCAAATTTAATGTGTGTCAATCATACTAGTTCTAGTGAGCAAAACAAATCCAAATTAGGTAGCAAGTTATTTATTTTTCCAATACTAAAATATATTATAGGTACATTCTAACGGCCATTCATTCGCCGTAAACGAGATTTAAAAATGAAACACTTTTCGTCGACAAAAAAACGCGATTCGTAAAGTAAGTATTTTGTCCAAGTATCATTTTTGTCTATAACACTGCAATGTACATGACATTGATAAAATTAATGTTCTTGTTATAATCCTCAGTGATGTTATCCCATGCGTTTTCAATTGCCTCCCAAAGTTCTTCGACGTTAACTGGACGGAAGTTTCTGCCGTAAATTTTTTTCACCATATATCTCCAGGACTTTGAGGGTATTGATGTTGTTATCAATTAACCATTCTGACGCAACTCTTGAGGTGTGAATTGCACAAGTATCCTGCTTGAAAGTGAAATTTTGAGGATACAGCATGGTCACAACAAACATCAGGACTTTGGCAGCTTATCCAAGCCCAAACGTTAATGCTAATAATAATAATGTTAATCTGTCACTCCGTTGTGTGGGTTTCACATAAGNGAGGTGTGAATTGCACAAGTATCCTGCTTGAAAGTGAAATTTTGAGGATACAGCATGGTCACAACAAACATCAGGACTTTGGCAGCTTATCCAAGTCCAAACGTTAATGCTAATAATAATAATGTTAATCTGTCGCTCCGTTGTGTGGGTTTCACATAAGGCTCCGAATACCTTATAATCTCTGGTGGGTAGACACGGACAGAGGCATCGGAGCAAGACTGAAAACTTTTTTCGTCCGAAAATATAATATTCTCCCAGAAGTTGTCTTGCAAACTCTAACCTCTGTTCTTTATACTGGGGAGTCAAAGCAACTGTATTTGCGGCCACATAATTCTTCAGCTCCGAATTTTTCACCCGCTTCCCTGCAGTTCGCACTGATCCAGGAAAATTCGTCTCAAAGGAAGCCGCTACTGCCATGTCAAAAGGATTTATTCTTAGGTGGTGCTTACTTTTCGACGTCCACATCCGTGAACATAACGTACGTGACCCTCCGCAATCCATTTCTCTTTGAGTTTAAATATGCTGTTCTTGCATACATGCAGATCATCCGCAATGACCAATCATTCTGAAGTAAAGTTAAAGCTCTCACTTTATCTGGTTCCCTTAAACGCGGGATCTTGAATTACCAAGCAAATTACTAATGACACTGACATATAAAAACTTGTCATAATAAGAAAAGTAGACCACATCACATTAGGAAAATAAATCGTCCACATTCAAAGGGCCGGCAGTGTACTCATTGTTTTTGTAGGACGAATTCTCATGGTAACCATCCCGCAACCGCAACATTTATTTAATTCAACAGAAAAAGATAAACGTTATTGTTTTTTAACCGCAGACACACCCTTGGAGATATTAAAAATATAACCTCGTGTTTCGCAAAACGGAAATACGTACGAACATGACCATAATGTCCCAGCTTTGCGGTTGATAAGAAAACCCGAGAACGTCGTTGCCAATTGCGATTAGTGCATAGATAACTTATAAGTGCGGGGAATCGGACCGAAAAATACGTTGCGCTACTTTGTTTAAATTTAATTAGTGCACAATTCATGGTCTGAAAAAGATCAAGGAAATCCTTTAAGCGCGGCGGAACTTTTGTAGGTATTTAACTGATTTTTAACGTTTCGTACGTCATCAGGCAATCAATCGAAATTATTTTACTAATTCGGTAGTATAACTTACACGTTCACCCTCCTTTTTATTAATATAATTTGAACCTGCATTGACGTAAGTACCGTCTACAAAATTGTAAACATTCGCAGAAAGCAAAAAATATCCCATTTCCTCGTTGTTATTGTTAAAACATAAACAACAAATCGCACCTCCAGTATAAAAACCGACATCGGTGCGATTGTGGAAGTCAAAAGAACTCAAATCATATACCTAGCAGTAAACTTATGCAGCGCTAGAACTAACGTTACAGCGCGCTGACGTCAATGCATACCGGCGGAAAAAGAAGGGAACCCACACGGCGGCGATGCTCAAGAAGGCTCGTTCGATACAGGGTGGACCACCGACTCCTCTTTCTAACTCTGTGGTTTCCTTAGAAAGTGGTGCAGTAATATAGCGGCTGCCATATGGACAGTGGGCACTTGTGGTTGAATATTCATTGTTTTTGTTGAGTACAAATATTGTTTGATTTTGTATCATATAAAATGCCGATATTTGATTAAAAAATTTATTAGATTGCAAACTAAGTTAACAATAAATCACGTTCTTCCGAGTACACACAAAGTCACTTCTGTGCCTAGCTTTAGATAATTTGCTCACCGTTACTAAGATCATATTTTTCTTTAACACTACGTAAGTACCGTCATATTACGGCACCGCTTTCCTAGGGCACCAAAGCTTTAGGAGCCAGGGGACCGTCGACATAAAAGGCCGTTCAATGAACTTGTAAAGTTCAACCTAGGGTTAATACAAAATTTATGTGTAGTGTTTCTTGTGATCAATATTAAAATGCTACGAACATCACCTTTCGCTGATAAATACAAATAAAATGCATTGGTAACGTTTGAGCGTTCTTCTAATTAATTAATATTAGTAAATCTAAAAATTGTCCTGAATATCATTGGTCTGACGAAATCATATATTTGCTTTCACACTAACTTAACTTAAACTTAAAAACAACTACGCTGCGGACTAAAGCCCCGTCGAGTGTTGAGGTACATCCGTAATATTTGTTAAACATTTTATATTTCATCTATATTAATTAATAATTATCTAAAAAGATAATAATAGCTTGTTCGACTATTATTAATGTTTTAATGCTGTTCTTGCTTCTAACAGCACCTCTTTGACCTTTATCAATCAATGTTTATCTTTATAACCTCATGTAATGAGCTGAAATAGATGAGCCTGACCTATTTCTACATTTTAAGGATTGCTTCTTCAACTGGTCTGCCTTTTAAAACTGGTATTAAAATCTGAATATTTATACATATTATATTACCTATATATTTTTATATTTTATTGTATCGCTATTATATATTATGGTATTATTACTATTATAAATTATACTAATTTAATATCTGGAATGCTGGATGGGGCTTTAATCCGCAGTGTAGTTGTTTCCTGACTGATGATTATTACTTGTTTGCCTTTGACGTTGCTTTTCAGCTAACCCGGTTATTGTCAAAGAGCATGTAAATTTTCATGAAATGATAATTTTAAGAACATTTTTAGACTTAATTTGAACTAGCCTTTTAAAAAAAATTAAGACAATGCTCAAATCTCATTTTTACATCCATATGAGAATATAACACAGTAGCTTAAAATTCTAGTTTTTATTAATGATGTATAATAAATAATTGTGTTACATCTTAAATGGTCTTTAGTATTCAGTGCTTAGGACTTCATACAGCCAAACTTGCAGAGAGTAACCTGCTAATCTGCAGGTACTATGAAAACAAATATCTAATATATATCATTGTCTTACTAAAAGTGCTGTTTCTTGTCTATAAAACATCAGCCATAATCAAATTTTTTCCTGACTGCATCTGCTAGTGGTAGACAACTTATCGCGTGATTGTTTTTCCACACAACTTTATTATAAATAAAGCATGCGATCTTCTAATCACATTTTAAATAATTATTCCAATAAATGAATTTCAGGAGTTCAAACTGCAAGGTAACACTTTTTTTTCCGAACTAAATTCGTGTTGTTATTGGATTTTGGACTGTAACATAAACACCTACCTTGTTTGTCGACCTCCTCCGCTAAATCAGCCTTTTTTTCTTCTTCCAGCCCTCAGGATGGAGAAAGTTGAGAAATATCGTCCAGTGGACACCATTTTTTCAAACCTACAAGAAGCAGAGGTATCCTTGGGTGCAGCTAGCGGGCCACCAGGGTAACTTCAAGGCAGGACCAGACCAGGGTACGATTTTAAAGAAATTGTGCGCTAAGGAAGAGAAATGTTTCAAGGTGAGAATTCTGAATACCAATTTTGCAAAGGAATAAAATAAAACTTAAACATTTGTGGAAATTCATATGTATTAAAATATACCTTCAATTCTGAAGATATATGTTGCACTAAACACTAAGCTATAAATGATAATCTGTTCTATTTTAGATTCTGATGAAAGATGTCTTAAGGCCATATGTACCTGAATATAAAGGAATTATCACTAGTGATGACAAGGAGTGTTCATATATCCAGTTACAAGACTTGTTGGGAGATTTTGTATCCCCTTGTGTGATGGACTGCAAAATAGGTGTCAGAACTTATCTAGAGGAAGAGTTGGCAAAGGCAAAAGAGAAGCCAAAACTGAGAAAGGTAATTTAATCATCATGGTCATACTATTCTCCTTATTTTTGTTACTTCTTTTATTGATCAAATGGGTGGCATGTCTTTGTATATTTAGAATCTCTGATAAAAAGGCAAAAACATTTAAATAAAAATTATTTGCGAATAGTGTTAAATGATAAGCACATATTTGAAATTGAAATCATTAGAAAATGTTGCCAACCTTTAAAGAAATTTTTACAACTTATTTCTGATAACTAGGTATAACTTCCCTTTGATCAAAGACCAATATGAAATTCAGCCATGATAATATATCTACATCATTTCTGCATTTTAACTGTTGCTTTTTGAAGTGCCCTCCTTTTAGAATTGGAATTAATAGAGATGTGAATATTAACTAACTGATTTGATCTATATAATAATAAACTCTTCTCTGTTTCAGGATATGTATGAGAAGATGTGCCAAATCGATCAAAACGCCCCTACTGATGAGGAGCACAAAATGAAGGGGGTTACTAAGCCGAGGTATATGGTCTGGAGGGAGACCATCTCGTCCACAGCTACTCTAGGATTCAGGATAGAGGGTATACGCAGTGCGGACGGTACTTCTAGTAAAGATTTCAAGACCACCAAAACCAAAGACCAAATCATAGCTGCTTTCGAAAAATTCACCGATGGTTTTCCTCATGCAATAGTAAGTAACTGTCGTAAAACACGATTTTTCAATAAATCTATTTCATATTTGTCAATGCTGACTTAATCTTATATAGAAAATAAAGAAATATTCTAAGTTCTATTTTCGAACCTTGGTAATATTCAAACGAACGATGTGGTAAACAAAATTGTAAATATTTCTTTCTTTATTTTCAGCCAAAATACATTCAGAGATTGAAAGCGATCAAGGCAACTTTAGAAACATCTGAATTCTTCAGTACTCATGAGGTAAGCGGCAAACAGATAAAATATGTCTAATAGGAATACAAAATATACAGTGTGACCCGTTTAACATGGAAATGCCCGTACGAGAATGGTATTTAAGAAAAAGAATTTTTTGAAAGATATAGCTTCAGAAATTTATTACATTACAGAACATTTTAATTGTTTATTATTTATTTACTTACTTCCCAAACAAGCATATTGCCTAGTTACATGAAAAACAAAGTAATTATAATATATTTCCATCATATAAGATGAGAAGTTAATTAAAAATAAATTCAAATGTTATGTAATGTACGTTTTTATGCCAATCTTTCAAAAAAAATTTAGGTAATTGAATTGCATTGGATACACTTTTTTTCAAGGATGTTTCCATACAAACAGTCAAATTGTAAATTTTTATCTGCGAAATGAAGAAATTGTAAAATCCAGTTTTCAATTCACGAAACTACCTACAAAACGCTAAATATTATCGTCTTTCTAGGTAATAGGAAGCTCGCTTCTCTTCGTGCATGATCGCTATAATGCCAACGTGTGGCTCATCGACTTTGCCAAGACCATAGTCCTACCGGAAGACATAACAATCACACACAGTTCCAAGTGGAAAGTCGGGAACCACGAAGATGGATACTTAATTGGAGTGAACAACCTAATAAAAATTTTCATGACCATGCTGGAACACCAGCCAGTAGCCATCAGCCCGCCGTTATCATTACAGGACCCGCCGGAAGTATCGGCCAAGGAGAAGGACGAAAACACATGATTTTCAAATCACATTTGATGTTGAATTAACGTTTTTACGTTTGATATTAGTATTATTAACTGTGTACTGACTTGTCAAGAGAGGATTTTGTACATTTTTTACTTTAAACCGGCTCTGTTTATGCCAGAGCGGAATTTTATAAACGGAACATTTTAGGTCCGTTTTAATAAGTGTAGGTTAAACTGAGAACTGATTATTTGTATGTAGGTTTACTGTAGGTCTTATGGGGTAAAGCTACAATTATTATGGACAAATATGCATTCTAGAACCACAGTAAGAACAATGTTATAAATGGAACAGACAAGTCCAAAAAAGGTGTCTAAATCAAAACAAAATGTTTTTCTTGCAAATTTTTTATTTTGTTTACCTCAAAATTTTTTAACAGGTCTGAAAAATATTGTATTTTAATTTTTTTTAGGATGTACTCACAAAACACATGTAAATGTATTGTTAATGTCTTTCAATAAAGCTATTAATTTGTTGTGTTAGAAAAACATGTTTTTTAATTCGTCATTTAAAATATCTGCAACAGTATTATTGAAAATTGCCGAATTTATTAGAGCAGGTGTCTATAAAAAAATATTCCCAATACTGACAAAATTGTCTGCAATTTTAAACATACAGAGAAAATTAAATTAAAAATAACAAAATAAATCGAATTACAGATGAGAGAATTGTTCATCAAAATTAATATGACTAATTATGATTTGCACTTGAAAAAACACTGATTGGATTCAGACAAATTTTTTGGATTGTTCATCTTTATAAATATGGAAGAGCTTAGTCAAACTGCCAAGAGATAAGTGCCTTTAACATTTTATACAATTTTGTAAATATTTGTTTTCTTGTTTACTTGTACTCCATTTACCAACAAAATTAATGGGAATATTAGATTTGATGTTTCATGTAAGCTGTACCCCTATTTCTATCACAACTAGAAAATTACATTTAGTTGGGGAAGGGGTGGCCTGTTATTACTTCATTTACTTGATGCAACATGTAAATTTTGTGTATGGAGTATGTATTTCATTTTATATTTCTTAAATTCATTGTGAGAAATGCCTGCCATAACCGGCAGGCGTCTTGCGATTTTCTAGTGCTTCTTCCTCTTATTGTGGAGGAAGGATGATAGATAAATTGTTGTAAATATATATTATTTATTTTAATTTATAATATATGTAATGTTTCATTAATATAATTTGTTTCACGCACTGAAATATGTACCTATAATTTGCATATTTATAAGTAGCTATAAATATTTTTAAGTCCAAGCATTTCGTTGTTATATTTCAATAGTAGATGAGTAAATTTCATTTCACAAACAAACAGCCTTTCTTTTCCTCCCTCTAAAATACCTGTACACTATTTTTCGGATAACTAATTGTTAAATTTTATCAATTAAGAATGTCTTTTTCCGATTAAAAAATAATTTTAATATCGCTTTATAAACGGAACATAATAGATCATTTTCAATAAGTGTAGGTTAAGACAAAAACTGGTTATTTGTGCATACATATACTAAAGATCTGATGGTGTAAAGCTAAAGTTGGAATATGCATTCCACAATCACAGTAAAAACAATATTATACAAAGAACGTGCAATCCCAAAAATGGTGTTTTAAGTCAAAACTAAATTTTTTTCTGCAATTGTTTGATGAAGAAAGAGTTCATTGTTGATTCTTTGTACTTTTTTAAGCATACCTGAAAACAAATTCTACTCTATAATTTTTTAGAATGTACAAAAAACATCTAGAGGCCCGGCCTCATATGCTACAAAATAATGTTATCAACAAAGTTATTCAACATGTTGGCGAAATTTCGATAAAAAGTAACAAGGTATTTGTTATGTCACCATGTTACCTATTTGCTACCGATCAGTGAGCGGTAAAGATCAAAGAATGTTAGAAAACCCTGCTTTGTAACATGTTACAAATGCGTCCACACATTACAACGTTGTACGTGTGGCTAGATTATGTCTTCTTCAATCAAAGCGTCGCATACTTCTGGGACTATTTTAGAAAAAAATTGTTCTTTCTTTTCTTCTTTTTCTTTCTTCTTCTTCTTACATATTTCTTCTTCTTCTTTCTACATATTTCTTTATTTTCTTTTCTTCTTACATAGTTTGTGACCCACTCTGTTTATAAGAACTCAAAATCAACAATTGACGTTCTTACAAAATTTTTGAAACTTCTGGCGCATTGTAATTCACCACTAAGCGGATCAATGTCGTCAGCATGTACCACACCATTCTCATTGGACATTTTCGTGTTAACTAAATATATAGATAATTCATTGAAAATATGTGGACATTGAAAAAGTTAACACAAGTATACAGACATATTTGTGTCGACATGTCACTAAATGAGGATGGGCCTTAATGCATTCTAATGTATTTCAATAAAGCTATTAATTTGTTTTGTTTAATATACATGTTTTTCAATTCATTATTTAAACTGATTTTTATTGGCTATAGATATTTTTATGTCTAATATTTTCGTAGTTCAGTAGTAGACGAGTAAGTTCATAAACAGCTTTTTCTTTCCTTCCACTGAAAACCTGTATATTTTTCTCTGTGTAACTAAGTGACAAATATTAAGAAGCTCGGACCAATTACGGATTAAATGGGTATAATTTTAGTATAACAGTGAAAACTGTACTGTTGGTTGCTTATTGTCTATTAAAAAAAACAAAAAAGCAGATCAATCTTTATGCCAATATATCTTTAAATATATATATATATATATATATATATATATATAAGATATTTATTNTTAGATATATATATATATATATATATCCACTTTAGACATATTTTGTGTAGACATCTACACAATTATTGTAGTACTTTATTAGACAATACAAGATTTCAATTTATAGAACACGGTAATTTTATATAAGGGAAGATAATAAGCAAATTTCGAAACTATTAGTGATATGGCAATGATTTAACTTTTTATTTTCTGCTATTTCGAAAAAATCGTTAATTACTGTATTACTGGTTGTGTGAGGTTAAAATATAAGTTCATGTTTACTTAAATATGTAAAGAAACAGTATAATTAATTTCTATGAATGATAATAATTTTTCCTACTGATTAAGTATTAACTAAACCTACTTAACATTTTTTTCTGTACCTCAGTATATATTTTATATACATAAGTAGTCCTATGTTAAGAATGTGTTGTTTCTAAAAATAGGAATTTTTATAGTTTGGAGCTGGGTACTTAAACATAAACACACATTATTGAGTTATAACATTTCAGTTATTCATTGCCAACTGTGCATATTTTTATTTAATTAATATAATTAATTGTTCTAAACTAAAGGAAAAAGGTAAATAATTAAGAAAAGTCAATAAACATTTGAATTATACATATATTACTGGTTGATATAAAATCAACATAACAGCAACAATTTTCAACAAATTTAACATCTTCCCACACAACATTTTTATATAAATACAATCACTATGATTTGAGTCACTTAATAAAATTACAAATAATGTCTAAGTATATGATAAATAAGGCACATTTTACCATGAGAATTCAATTTTCAGTAACATTTTTAGAAAACTTAATACATAACATGCTTACAAATATTTGGCTTGGCAATTCTAAACTAAGCATTGAGGTTTTTCATTTGAAAGTTATTGAAATAAATAAATTAAACATCTAAAGAATCACATATACTTACGTGTAAGTAGGAACGAAACAATAAAAAACAAATATAAACATCTATGCTAGATAATTAATAATGCTACCTTGTTTTTAGGTACAGATTTTCCTGAAAATGTATTGGTTATTAAGGGGATACCTAAGTAAACTAGGTACTAGGAAATAATTTCTGCAATAGTGTAGAACTAGAATATCAAGGCACCAATACATAACTAACGTCCAAGGGACTAGTAACTACAATGTAATATGGACGATTTTTGTCCAGGCATTGTTTAGGAATGATTATTAGGTCTCACAAATAACAAATATAAAAATACCACAATTTAGACTATTATCAAATCAGTCGGGGGCACTTACCATTTAGGGACACATCTAGAATTTAAATCTTCCTCTGAGAATCATTCCAATTTTTTCATGAATCAATCAGTTTTGAAACGTATTTTCTAAAAACAGTGATTTTGTTCATTTTAAACAAATACATACACCTATTCGATGCAAATAATCTATAAAACATATATTTTGACTAAAAGTAAACGAAATTAATAATAAAAATGGTTCTCAAAAAAAGTTGAAAGTTGAAATTTTTTGATATTTGACAGTAAGCTAAAAGTCGCTTTGATTGGCCCTCTCGATTAGAAAACAACCAATTACATGGAATTGTAACCATTAAATTAACCAGAAATCTTTATAATGTTATAGGCCATTGTACAAATTGTTTGCATATTTTCAATGTGATTGATATATTGTGATAAGTAAATTATTTCGAGGAAGTAATTCATTTTCAAACTCATATCATTCTTATTGGTTCTTTCAAATTGTTCTGAGCCAATTAAATGATTACATTTTAAACTAAATTTTGTAGAAAGTAAATTTAATTTTTTAGTAAGTTATTTTGAAATTTTAGAAAGTTTAGCTAATAAAATGCAAATTAGTTGTAAGAGGGGCGCGTCAATTTCCATAACACTCTTTCTGTGGAGTTGAATTGTATCTAAACTGTGGTTTACAAAAGTGGTGTAAAGTGTAAATTGACAAATACTACCCTTGAAGCAAAATATGGCAAGTAGTTTCTGTTGCTAGAAGTTTTTATAAATTCTTTGTAAAAACTATAACTAATCTAGTTTACTGGCTGATTTCTATTTGGCAACTGGGGTCAATCTAAAAGTAAGGAGTATTCGAAAGTTGACTTTTTCAAGTACCTCTCTCTCTCTCTCTCTCTATCTTCCGTTATCTATGTCTTTCTCTCTCTCTCTCTGAATTTCACGACTTATTCTAACAGAAACAAACAAAGGTACTATAAAATAAAGTTACACTTAACGATCACTGCTATCTGTGTCCGTCCGTTTATTCACTTGGCGTTTCACTGGTCCCGTTAGGTTCGTATACACGGGCCGTACGGAGAACCTTCTTCTCTGCGACTGCCTGAAGGAATTCCTTGCTTCCGGAGGAAATGCGGAATAAGGGGGAGGGGAGACCAAGAGATTCTCGTCCACTGGCCTTAAAGAGAATCTCCTGGGTCCTACTCTTGGAGCTGGAGGTACAGGTACCAGAGAAGCTCTCCTATTGTTGTAGTTGGTTCTGATGGACATCCTTCTTCTCCTAGCTGCCACGACGTCTGGAGGTGTAAGACAAGCCACACCCAGTTTTCTTCTAGGCTCTGGTTCAAGGTTGATTTCGGGTACCGTTATGGCAGACAGAGCCCTGATAAAGTCTGCTATCGAGGTCTGTTCCAGCACTTGTTCCTGACTGGATGAAAGGGTGGAGTGTCTTCTTCGACTCACATCTACTTTGGCACTGGCTGTGCTTCCTCTGCGCTGGGTGTCGGCTGCTTGCTTCTCCACATCGACGCTTTGACTGGGCCTTATCCTGAATCTATTTCTCAAGCGTTGGATTATAGTAGGTCTTTCCTCTCTTTCAGAATTTGGTGCCGAGTAAGTTCTCTGTCTATGCTTCGTAAATTCTGTAAAGGCTTTGGAGGCGTCGTTTCCGTACCAGGTGTACCCATCCCCAATACGAGCAATGGCGTTGGTTGGAGGTCTGATTTCACTAACTGCTCTCCTTCTCTTGGCTTTGAAGGTGGGCACGGCGTCTTCTGGACGTTCTGGTGTTAGCAACTGGTTTACGTCTGCTGTCGTTCCACTAAGAGCATCGACTACTTTAAGCAAGAGATCTTTCTGCTTCATGAAAGCGTCTGAAGGTCGGAAGGTAAGTTCCTTATCTATCAAATCCAGGTCTGTATCAGACTGAACCCTTTGCAGAATCTGCACTGGCCTGTAACATTCCGACATGGCTCGTTTCCTCATCATAGTAGGAGAGTCCATGTTCCTCCACAGTTGGAGATCAGGACAGCTTTGACTTCTTTGTAGCATCTGAGGAATGTACTCGAACTCTCCCTTATACACGGGTTTGACTCTTAAAAAGAGGAACTCTTGTAACACGTTACGCAGCTCATCTCTGATTTTCTGCGGCGTCTTTTTGATATTCTCTGCTAACATCTTCTCGATCTCGATGACCCGTTTGCTTTGCATGCCTTGGGTGATGAAACCCAGTACCATCACCACGTAGCCCAAGCCGCCTATGACCCACACGAGGAGGAAGATTTTGTAGAGGATGTGTGCCTCGGTACTGAAATCATCGCTGTTGTTTGTTCCTAGAAAAATGGAAAGGTATTAGTATATACATGAAAAGGTTCATTTGTTAGGTATATTAGAAGTGGTGGGTACTTGATGTAATTGCCATGAAAATGTATGTGGGTTTAATAGATAAATAAGGTACTGTGGTTTTAAAGCTTTCATGGATCGCGTCGATACTGAAATTATGATGATTTTTTCGGATTGTTGTGTCGTGGCTTATATACCTTGTCCTAGGCTTGCCCTTATATTCATTTCGGTTCTTATTGATGGTTTTGAGACCCCTGCGGTCTTAGCGGCCATATAACCAACAAGCTATGACAGTTCAATGTACCTAAGCCTGTAACTGGCGACCAGTTATATAGACCATGGTACTTTAGATAATAGATAAAATACAGTCCGTACGATATGTTGTGATAGAATTCCAAGAAGAGCCCTGCGTTACTTTCAACTTTCTCAAATTTTCAAAATGCAGTAAATCAGTATTAAGTAAATGTGAGTGGGACCATTTTTTTAAATGCAAATACATTTTCTGATAAAAGTGTATTACAAAGAGTTTGATAATACTTCTGATTAAGTATATTCTAACATTTTTCCAACATTATTTTAAATATCGATATATTTTATTAAAGATGTCAATCTCTGGACAATCTACCTTATTTTGCACGTGCAACTGAAGCAGAGATATAAAGAAAAACATTTTTTCATTTTGCTGCTAATAGAAACAGAATATCTTCAGAGTTGGCTTAGAAATTAGATAAAAATAAATCAAGAATAAATTTTCCATATTAATTCTTGTCGCCATTTTAATAATTAGGTGCAGTTGTAATCAAAGTAAACACATAGGATTTAAATACATTTAAATCATATGTAAATGTCATATTTATGCAAAAGGTTGAGTACACGTTAGCCATAACACATTTTTGAGTAAAAATATCGACAATATCGTAGACATGTACTGATTTATTTCAAATATGCTCTAATTGCGTATTCAATGCTTAACTTCAATAGATATTTTCATTATAATATATTCAGAAATCTTTTTTTTTGCTGCTAACGAAAGCAGCAATAGGTACATCATAAAAATATATTAATATGATGAGATTATTTAAAACAAAAATTAATGAAGCCTTAAAACCGCTGCTATAATGGTAAACTAATCTCTTTTCTAGTTATTTTATTGGCCAATATATTGGGCTTACTGGACCATATATACATGGTGAAAACACCTTAAATACAGAAACTGCAGGAATAGAAAAATAAGTGGAGTTTGCTCTATAAACTTTTATCCTAGGGGACTTGGTATTCGAGATATAGGGTGTTCAAGTTTCCAAAAAAATATATTTTAGGTCATATCTTCATATTACGCTGAACTGAATGAAATTTATTACAGCGTATTCACCTAATTATACCTTTTATTGAATGTAATATTAACCTCTTGGCATTAACCAGTGGCTTGATACTGAAGGTGCCGCTCCGTTTTCCCATGAAGAAAATACGCCACTGGCAGTTTATCGTAGAAATAATGTTAAATTCAGATACTGTTACGTTAAATGAATGAAAGCGATTCTTGGTATCTTTTAATAGTAGCAGCCGCTTAGGAGATAATTTACTTATTTGGCGACCATAACTCCACATTCTTATACAGGGTGGCATAAAAGTATGGGAACCCCAAAAAATCTCTCGAGATATGCATTTTCCGGAAAAACCAAATAATATAGGGAAAGTTAGGATTCTTTCCTGGCTATTCAATGGTGACCATGCCATGACCATTGACCAGTGACCACGTGGTCATTATTGGGTCAAGACGATTTTTTTAAGTGGGAATCCCCCTTTTTGACCCCGGAAATAGAAAGAGCGGAAAATTTTACGTTCAGATATGACCTTCACCATTTCAAGAATTTCAAAATGGCGGAGAAATCAAGATGGCAGCGAAATTTTTTAAAGTTAACCGATTGTCACCAAATTTGGTATACGGAGATTTTCGAGGTCGCTGAACACGAATCCGAGGTCAGATTTTCAAAATTCAAGATGGCGGATCCAAGATGATGGATGGGGTTCTTTAAATTTAATCAATGGGGATCAAATTTGATATTCGGGGGTTTTGGGGGTCACTGACCCCACATTCCTGATCAACAATCCCCCAAAAACGGCCGTATACCATCTTTGATGCAAATCGACTGATTTTCAAAAAATTCGTCCGCCATCTTGAATCGGCCATCTTGAATTTTGCAAATTTGACCTCGGATTCGTGACCAGCAATGCCAAATACCTCCGCATACAACGTTTAGTGCAAATCGGTTGATTTTCGAAAAATTCGTTAGCTATATTGGATCCGCCATCTTGATTTTTTAAATCCAACCTCGGATTCGTGATCAGCGATCTCGAAAATCTCTGTATAGAAAATTTGGTGACAATCAGTTAACTTTCAAAAATTTCGTCCGCCATCTTGATTGATTTTGAAATTTTTGAAATGGTCAAGGTCATATCTGAACGTAACATTTTCCGCTCTTTCCATTTCCGGGGTTCCCATTTAAAAAAATCGTCTTGACCCCATGATGACCACGTGGTCAGTGGTCAGTGGTCACGGAATAGTCACCATTGAATAACCAGGGAAAAATCCTAACTTTCCCTATATTTGGTATATCCGGAAAATGCATATCTCGCGAGATTTTTTGGGGTTCCCATTCTTTTATACCACCCTGTATATTAAAATATTTGTTTAAAATCCATCAGCAAAAATTGGATCTTTTGTGTTCATTATCAGATAGTAAGCTTTATGATTATCTCGTTTTAATATTATACCTAACTAGCTTTGTTTATTTATTCTAAAGCTACACGGAACGAATTGTGGTAAAGAATAGAGAAATAGTTTGATATTTTTTCCAAAAATAAAATAATTTCTACAAAAAAACACCAGTAACGTATATTTTTCCCGGGAAAAGTTGGCGGACGTTTTAGTAGCATGTCACTGATTAAACCCAGGAGGTTTTCATAAAAAAAACGGATTAATTTATTAGGAAAATTCAATAAAACGTAAAAACAAACCCAAATATTTCCTAAACGGCTGCTACTATTAAAAAAATACCAACAAACATTTTTCATTCATTTAACGTAACAGTAGGTACCTGAATGTATTTCTACAAAAAACCGCCAGTGGCGTATTTTTTTCTTAGGAAAATGGGGAGGCACCTCCAGTAAAACGCCACTGTATAAAGCAACAACGTTAATATTACATTCAATAAAAGGTCTATACAGTGTGTTCCTAAATAAGTGTCGCAACGGAAAACTGTAAATTCCTCTTGAAAAAAGAAACATTTTTTTCCTCTTCCATTTTTCTCTCCGGGCTTTCGTTTTCGAGATACACGGTGTCAAAACTTTAATTTTTTTTTTTAGTTTTTTACAGTTTTCCGTTGCGACACTTATTTGGGAACACCCTGTATAATTAAGTGAATTCGCTGTTGTAAATTTCATCAGCGCATTATGAAGATGTGTCAGAAAATTGTATATATTTTTTTGTAAACTTTAACCGTGTATCTCGAATACCGAGTCTCTCAGGAAAAAAGTTTATAGTTTATTTTTTGGTAATGAATCAGTCCTGCAGTTTCTGTATTTAAAGTAAGATCTTGTACGTCCAGAATTTCGAAGCTACTGAATATTTTGTAAATTTGAAGTTCATTTAATTCAAGGATATACTTTATAGAAAAAAAATCTTCATTTTATTATTCCGTTAAGCACGGAAAAAACATTGGCGTAGAAATTTTAAATTTTCTAAAGGTAGCAATGGGCAAATTTTTATGCAACTGTGTCAATATTGTATTTGTAACAAAAAAAAATCCTGTGGGCTTTTTGTGAAACAGTTTTAGAATGATTATTTTTGGATAATTACAACATATTTCGAATGAAAAGGAAGAGATCTTTTTCCTTTAAAATACTGAGAGTTTTATTAATCTTACGTAAAATATCTTTCTAGATATTTGTGGTTGTAACATTTTTAAAAAAATAAACACTAATTTGCAAATGAAGCAACAATGCATGAATTCAGGTTACCTATTTGGATCAAATAACCAACGCATTTGATAAATATGTAAAAATTTTCAGGCTATTTCACTAAAAAATAAAGTTTTATTTTTGTAGGAGGTATATGAAAAAAAAACATTGTAATTTGAATGTAAAATTTAATATCAATTCGATAATTCGTGCAAATTTTTTTAAATCGTTTTAAAGAACACCCTGTATATTTAGTATTTATATAGGTAAATCTAAAACATATGTGTAGGTACCTAATCCACTGTTAGAATCAACGATATAGTTACACATTTTTATGAACTACTTATTACAAGCTGTAAACAGAATAAAAAATAGTGTTATTAATATTTATAACGACGCGAACAAGAAATTATTTACGCATACTTGTTCCTGTCAATGACATCCTAACATAATACCGTTTTGTTTAGCCTTTGCTGCCATATCTGTCAGAAGTTCCTTAGAGAGAAACTATTCGAATCACCTCTGGAAATATCTCAGAATCGTAGAAAAAAAATTATATTTACCTATGTATTGTGTTAATGTTACAATTGCTCCATACAATATAAAATATTATACATGTTAATGCAGCCATAATCGTATATTAATGTGATCGACAAAGATAACATTGTTCGATATTTGGTGTAGTTACTTTTATATACAACATTGTAGGTCAAAATCAAAGGCGTGCCAAAAAAGTCGCATAGAAACTCAAATGTTTTTGACAATTAAATTGTTTGTTTGCATGATTATCTGTCTAATAACGGTGCAGGAATGCCAATCAACCACATCTTACATTTTAAATTTGAGATGAAGGATATTCAGTTCCGGAGACTTCATCGCTAGATTAAGTGACGAAATTGGCAGATTTATTTAGTTGGCTATTTAATACAGCAACTTTAATGCTTTTGTTTTAGCGTCGCCTCTAAATCCCTGAATTATAATAGTAATAATAATACGTAAAATGAATTTACCTGCGATTAAGTCTCCAAAGCCTATGGTCGTCAGAGAAACGAAACAATAATAGACAGCTTCGTCATAGGTCCAGCCCTCGAAGACGCTCATTATGGTTGAAGGCAGGAAAATGAAGAATGTAAATCCTGGTACAGAGTAGAGTATGATCTGACCGATCAGTCCTAGTTTGGCTGAACTTCTCTCTATCTTTGCATTCTTCCATCTGTGGTACAGTTTTTTAAACTGCAATAAGGGATTTTGATAAAATTGTAATACGGGTCATTTCCCAGTGAAGACAATGTTGTTTTGGTTGAAAATATAATGTTTTATATTACACGAATTTTCAACCGAACAAAACTACGAAAATTATGAATACAATTTAAAGTTAAAAAATATTTAATAATCTGAACACTCTTTCAAGTAATTAAGTATAAAAAATTGTCTATCTTGATAACCATATTAATAAATTGTTAAAGAATACCACAGGGACTTACCGATTTTCCGAAATACTCTCCTAGAGTTACCATCACTATACCATTCATTGGGATGCCGATTAGGGCGTAGAATATCATGAAAATTCTGGTGAACGTTGTTGTAGGCGCCAAGTTACCATAACCTTAAAAGTTAATATATTTATTTTTTGTTTCACACCAAAGAATGTATAGGCATTTTTTCAGAAAATACGTAAATTTATTTTTTTTAATAATTCTCTGAGAGCTTTTATAAGTAACATTAAAAAAAATTGCCATTTTGATGAATAATATAAAGTTACTTACTCCCACTTTTATATTTAATCCGAACACCCTGTATATGTTTTGATATGATTGCAACTACTCTTAAAACTTGCATGTACAGGGTGAAACGTACCTATAGTACTGACAACGGTGATGACGAAAAACAGGGAATTGTAGAAGTCCCATTTATAATTTAGAGGTTCTTCGCTCATATTGTAATGAACAGGTTTCCCGCAGTACTCCGTTAGCCTGTTGAAGATGAACTGTACGCTATTGTTGTCCCCTTTATAGTGCTTCCTCAACAGTTCTGAAATAGAAAAGAAAATCATGTTTGATCAAATTTTGTGATAAAATCAATTATAAAATCTATTTGCCGACTGAAATATACAGTGCCCACCGTTTCAATTATAAAACGCCATCTATTGTTTATAATGTTACTTAATGCTATAATATGGTCTAGAAGAATAGTTGAGAATCTAATATTAGCTATTTTAATTACGATTTTTTAAGCTGGGTTATTACACCGTCTTTTAATCATTCTGAAATTTGACAGGCCATCTATAAATAGCTGATTGTACCAATTTATAATAATATTAAAAATGTTATCCTTGACCGAACAGTTACGAAACGTTTGACATTTTATTGGGTTTATTCTTGCTGTCCACAATAAATCATGTCAATTATAATGTATTTTTCTTTTGAAAACAATGGCATTATTATGAAATGAACATACTATTATATGTAGGCATAGACGTTCTTTTTATCTAGATAAAACAGTTTTTGTCATGTGATGCCTATATTTTTATCTTATAAAATAATATATGTATGTACGCAATTTATAGAAAATTTTCAAAACTATTTTCATTTCAAGGTAAAGAAAATTCCTGATAATATCATAACGTATAACTGATAATTTGTATATTTACTTAATACATTCCTTCCTACCTATATTGATAACAATTACTGCATTGCAAAAACTTATCGGTTGTTGTCATTACCTTTTAATGCTGGGGCCACACTTACGTTAACTTGTAACGTCCAATATCGCGATAATTATTGCGTTAAAAAATAATAGATTAAATTATGCGGTAAAGTGAATAGCTATACACTTATGTTTGATGTTTACTTAACAAATAACGCGTTATTTGATAAAATAGTTTCATCATGGAGATTGAGTCCACTTTATAAATGTATTGTATGAGCGTAATTATTATTTTATGCTTTTTGTCTAGGATCTGTTTGAAACACTTCTAAAAACTCTATTATTTTTTCGTTAGATAGACAATGCTAGTGTAGCCACATCAATGCGATAAATGACGCGCAAATCGCTTTGATGTGTCAAAAAACCGGCACTCGTGTTACAGCCTAACGTCTAACACCTACGTTTAATGCAAGTGATAGTGCGATAATTAACGGCATTAGACGTAAGTGTGGCCCCAGCTTTAGCAATCATTTTACGCAATAACAAGGATTAGTGATCTTCTTAAGGGAAAGATCTTTTCAAAATAAACATATTTTCATCATTTTCCCTAAAAAACTAAGTTTACGTCACATATTAAATGTGTTTATGTTATCAGACTTCAGAAAGATATTCTGTTCTTTAATCCATTGTACAGATTTTTACCAAACCATGCTACTTGCGACAGATTTCTTGTGAAACAAGGCTAGGCAAACAATTATTGCTACTTAGCGGTGATTTTTGTTTATACTTATCGTCTACACGTCTACGATAAATGTATTAATTAATTTGTTTTCTATCACATGCTTAATCAGTGCCTTCTTGTTTGCTAAGGAGATAATTTACGTCACTTTTCCGCATTCTTAAACAATAGAAGACGACTTTTTTTCAAGATATTGCTGTGCAAACAATTTCTGATTTTACATCAGTTTCATAAATGCAAAAACAAACTTTTTTTCGAGCAAATCCAGCGGTTACATCAAATGGAATAGGACAATAAAACAATTGAATTGGTCAATATGAGAATTAGTAAATTAGGAAATTATGGACTGAACTTGTGGGTTAAGTTATATTAGTAATTAAAATTATTAGCTACGGTTGACTGAACTTTAGCAGATTCTGTCACAGGTGATAGAACCGTTATAAAATCTGTTACGGTTCACTAGAGCACTACAACAGCTAGCAACATGTTAAAAATCTCATAGTCAAGTGTTTGCACTTAAAGTTATATATACAGGGTGTTAAAAAGTGTTTTTCATTAATTATAAAACAGATTCATATGAACTTTTTTCATCTCAAACTTCCGTTCTATTGAAAAGAGAAACATTTTACAAAGTGTGATTTTTTTTACAAATTCTAGTATCTCCAATAAAAAGGTTGATAGGATTTAACTTTCTATTATTTTGGCCACCCGTATTCAAAGTTTAATAACAGTCAATTAGTGCAACAAAGTTTCTTTAAAAATTTTATTCAAAATAAAAAAAAAGTAAAGAATTAGAAAGAATCATATTTAAAACAATTATGTACAGGGTGGACAATAAATATATTCTAATACCTCTGACACGAAGACGTACATTTTTTTTTATTACAATATCAACTTTTTAGCTGCCTATTCTCTGGTTCACCTCGTAACTACAGAAAAGAAGCGACGTACGTAATAAAGTAGAACGCGGTTTGCATGCCGAGAAGAAAATCTTGCAAAAATCCCGTCAGCCTTAGAAGGCTGGGTTTGACAAAGATTTCATTTCTTGGGGGCCACTGGTGGTGACATCATTTTTATCTAACCTACTTGTGTGCACTGGAAATCGCCCTAGTTGTTTAAATTATAATCAATATGTATATATGGTGGTCCACTTGTGTGGATCTAGTGATATGAGAGATAAGAATTTATTATTCTTTAAGAATTACTAAATTTTAACATCAAATAATATACTCTTATGGTAAGAATAATAGCAAAATAGAAATTAAAAAACGTAGTATTCTGAATGTCAACGTATTGCCATTTTATTGAGATATCTTGAGGACTGTAGGGTAGTAACAAATAAGAAAAAATACAATGTTACTAACTATTTGTAACGTAGAAACAGGAAACCAAAACTCATCTACATGAACCTGAATTTCTATGACCAAAGGTGAAGACATGACAAGACCTTTCGATAAAGTTTATGTACAATAATGTTGAATCTGTTCTGAAAACCGCCCTTTATCAGAGGATGAAGAAAAATAAATGATCTTCGTTTTACTTTCTGATAAAGACTATGACTTTACAATTAATTACTTTATTAACCACCTAGTGACCACGTCTACAATGTACCTGTATGTCTGTAATCTGGTTCAAATTCTGATTATTTCATTTTGGAATCGTTCAACAATTTCATTACTCCACAAGTAACTGATTGAAACGTTATCTACACGAACGTGACTGCTGCGTAAAAATCTATTCTTTATCTAGTAAAAATCGAAGATATACCTGACACGATAAGTGTCGCTTAGAAAGCTAAACTCAAGGAAAATTCAGCTGATTATGTAATCTGATTGGCTGATATGGATAAGAGCAACTTGTAGATTTCTTCATGTTACTCCATGGAAAATTTTACAAAAATATATTTCCTACTATTTATTTGCTTATGGTAAACATGAGAGTGCAAAAAATTGTTATCTTTGTTGTGTTTTTTACACTCTAGATAAGTATTTTCAAAACGATAAAAGGTTTGTCAATAAGAAGTGACTCTGTATATAGTACTGCCATCCATGTGCGCCGTTAACCCGTTATATAAGGGGGTCAATTCTAAATATCAGAATACATAACCCCCTTAACTTACGGTTTAGATTTAGATGCAGATTGTTTCCCACAATTTGGCGTCTAAAATGAACACTTATTTATATTTTTTATTTATGCATAACGATTTTTTTGTTCCGATTTAAAAGTACAGTTGGATTCAATTTATAACTAATGATGAAATCTTAATACGCCGTAAATACATGATATTTTCTATGAAGATATTGGTTTGGTAAACAAATTCTAAGATCGTGCTTCATCGGTGTTATTTTTAAGCAGTTCTCAAACTTTTTCTTTTACAATTAGAGGCAGCATGTGATTTTGACGGTTATTACTGTTAAATAAAACTTTTTGGATGTAATTTGTAATATCTTATATATATCTAGAAGTTTTTTTATCGAGATCTGGGGCTGAAACCGACGAAAAATAAGCAAGCAACCTTTGTTTTGAAAGCCATTGAAGATATTAATAATATAATTTTTATTACAAGTGGATACACGACCGTGACTGGTCTTCAATATAATCAAGTTAGGTACTAAAATCACATAGTAATTCGTGGTAATGTGTATACATTCTAATTTTTTAGCATGGTAACAAAAATAGAATAATGTCTCCACTTGCGGTATAACCAGTTTTTGAGATGATTTCTTGGGAATATTTTGCTGATGTTTGGAAATTTTTTCTAATGCTTTAAAATCCAGTTTTGTTTCTTCCAGTTAATATTTGTGTTCTTACCAAATTTAAGTAATAATTAATATAAGGTTTATTTATTCAAACAACAACAGTTTGAAGCGACTAGTATCGATAATAATATGTATTTCAATTAAAAGTCTGCCTGGATAATATTTTTTAAATTAGTGAAATTACATGCTTTTTCGATCATAAAAACACGCACCACAGAAATGAGACAGTCTAGGATATCGGAATGCTATCAACAATCAAAGAAAAAATGACACAGATTACCTGCAAAGAACATTTTTATTGCACAAGTGCTATTGAGATAACAATATCGAGTGAATGACGCATACATCTTGGATAGAACATACACTTTTGGGGTACTTTTTGTTATCATGATAGCAGGCATTATTATTGTTTCAAAGACATTTGGAACGATATTTTCAAAGGTACCTGCAGAATAAAAAACTTTAACAAAAGATACAACCTCATAGTTTTAAAAATAGAAACCGCAACCAATTAAATGTTATCGCGCAGATATTTCAAAGCAACTATCGCAAAAATACGAAGAAACTGCCCACTAAATGATAAACAATGAACGTTATAAATTAGTTAGTAGTTTATTACCAAGTACATGTTAAAAATTTTTCGCAAATATATATAACGACGCGCTAAATGTCTTAATAACAGAATACATTGGCGTTTGTGAGTAATTGGTGAAAATTTATATAGCAAATTAATTAAGTTTAAGTGTAAACACTTGACGCAAACTGAGGTAATCTTCAACACAATTGATAACACCCATATAGTAAATGTCATTACTGTAAGTAGGAATTTCTTTCCTATCTTTTGTCGAAACACTTGTTCGCCTTTTAACTAATTTGTCATTTAAAAGAGAAACATATATTTTTTTCAAAAAAGACAATTATTTTTCATACGCCCCTTGCTACTACATTTACATCGAAGACATTTGCCACCAAAGAAACTAGAAATTAATTGCACCTTTTTTATGCAAAAATTATTTACCTCACTCGAAGGCCCGCAGCTTTACTAGAGTGACCCTCATTACGATGTGTTTTTAAACGTTTAAAAAAGATTTCGCTTAATGTCGAGCACGTTTGTATAAAAATATAAATTATTTTTTATTGCACTCCTTTACTTCATCGCGAGTCATTGAAGTGGAAAATGGAAATATGTATTAAAATTAGTAAAATGTACAAGGCAGCGTTATATACTTGCTTGGGCATTCATTGCCATAAAACTTGATCACCATGCGTTGGATATTTAGGTGTCTTTAAATTATCTCTGCAAAAATAGATTAAACAGACGGTAAACGGTATGTTGAAAAGAAGGATTAATGAAAAAGTCAAAGATGTCAAAGAAATACAAACGGAACAGAGAAACCGTCACAATTGACTTCTAAATTAATTTGTTAATTGTATCGTGATTTCTTCCAAAGTTGAACGCAGAAGAAAATCTATTTTTTTTTAAATTGGAAAATAATAGAAAAATTGAACTTTTGTTACAATCCAGGACATAAAAGGTTACAACAGTGTTTGTACCATCATTCTATGAAATATTCGTACTGGTATATTCCTTTAACTGTTTTTTGAACATAAATTATTACACTGATACTGTTGATTTTAATTAGTAGTTATATTTGTGATTAAAATTTTGACACTTGTTTCAAGGACACCTCGTATAATAAAGAAACCGTAAGAAAATTTCCAATTTCCACAATTTTTTTGGGCATTTCCCCAATTTTTATTGCTGTTTGAAAACTATTCCCAAAATTCTAATTTAAATTCTAACCAAGTGAAACTACTTAACAGCCTATTAGTTTAGTTTGCCGTATTTTATTGTATTCAATTTTTAAATATATAAATATACAGGTACCTAATATAATACAAACAACTTTGTTTTCTTTTCTTAAAATATCCCTTTATCGTTGGGTGTGACATTTCCTTTGTGAAATTTATATTTAGATACATTTTCCTTGCTTTCGTTACTATTCTACTCACGAGGATCCTTGGCGGTTTTTATTATTTCGATGACGTATTTACATATGCATCAGATCGTTGTTTAAAATCATAGTTTTTCAACAAGGGAATACCCGCCAGGAAACAGCGTTTGTAAACGTTGATTATTCAAATGAATCCAAGATAAGTTAGATATGTTGGATTATTATTTGTTTTCTTCTATGTATTCTTGTTTCAAAAGTACCTATATAATATAAAAATAAAACAGTAGCAAGAAATCATGAAAATCTGCAAGCGCTGCAGATCCGCATTTTTTTCAAAAGCCGCACAGACCGTGCTTATTTGAGTGTAACAAATTTATGAGGTAATTGCACAGCTATTTATCCGAAATGCTTGACCTCATATAGGCCACAGTACAATAATTAAAGAATATCAACTCCAAAAGGAAAAAATTAAGTCCTCTGAAAAATCCATCAGGGAATAAAAAATATTCCTTTTGACAGCACTTTCACATTTAATCTGGTGGCAGAAATTGGAGTATGAATTAAATTCAAGGACGATTTTTTTGAGCTACTAGAACAATCGATTAAAATTACTAGTTTTTGGAATAAATAAATTGGCTGTTCCAGTCTTGTTGAAATCTAACGTTGCAATGTTCTCAGGAAAAAAGAATATGTAAATCTCATTGCAAATTAATATTAACAAGGTAACATGATACCAAGAAAAAATAACGAACATATAATGTGAAAGAAGGAAGAAAAAATATGATCAAAAGAAACAAAAATGTTTACTTTATGTTGTTTATTAATCCTTGTACTTAAACGGTGCAGGAAAGCTAGTTTTTCTTTTGAACACTTGTGCAACGATGGTATTTCCTCCATTCGGTAAAATTATACTGTAGGTATTGCGTAACTACGAAGTAAATGCAAAATTATGCAAATAAAAATCCAGAGAATTGTTGCTTCAATAGAAGTAAATCGTTATTATACATTAGCTGTTCGATTACCACAAATGATGTAGATTCGAGTGTATTGAAGTGTATGTTGAAAAAATCTCCAAGAGCTGCATCGCAGTAAGCTTGCATCCTGTTTTATCACCGATTTTGACTTAATGATTATTCAGATGAAAACATTCTTGGATAATTTATTTCTTGGGATATGTGCGTAATATATACAGATTTTTTTGTAATAAGATGCTTTGTTTCAGTTCTCAGTAGTTTTATTTACGGAAAAAATGAATTCTGAATTTATGATAGAAACATATTACATTCATGCTTAAATATTAAGAAATATTTATATAGGTACAAATTTCCTTGTAGTTCGTTATTACGTAAATAAAGTTCATAAAATTTACTTGCCCGCTCTACGGCTAGCCTGAAAGTGATTCATTTATTTTCCTAGTCATTCTAAATTTCCAAAGTTACAAAGCAAATTCAATAATAAGAAATTAGTAAATATTAGATTTGCAAGTGAAAAAATTCTCTACGAGTAAAATCAGCAACTGTAATCTGTTCTTCTCATTCAAATATCATTTATACCGTCTTCAGCTTATGATAATTCAAATAACCAGTTTTCAACAAGGTCTCGCTATCTTTAGCTATTTTTTTGATATATGTTATTTTAATACAATGGAAAAATTTCGGTAGAAAAAAAGATTCATAAGTAACATGCTGTTCTTTTTATATGAGGAAACAGTGCAGACGAAGATAGCCATATATTTAATACTCACTATTATTAGCATATTTCACGGACTACAGAAAAAAAATTAAAAGTCAAGGTAGCATACTGCTAACTAAACAACAAATTTGAAACATTTTGAATTCTTTGAGAAGTTCAAAGAAACCTTGCTTGTATGTTTAAATATCTCAAATGATAAGGAACATATCCATTCTTGGCTTCAAACAGGGACGAGATATTTGGGTTAAAATGATGTCTTAGTTGAAATTATTTTTTTCAAAACTTAACCTGAAAATTTTGCCCAATGTATTTGTTGACATAAAAAAATTAACTTTAACACTCTATATCTTTTTCCACAGCAACTTTAGGCTACCTCTTCATATCTTGTCACAAAGACTTCGCCCTTCCTCTTTGGCCCTTTATTAATGTAGGAAATATGAAACCAGTTCATTCCTATTAACATTTTGGAAAAGCAAGTTGACATAGCAAAGCAAAATTTGAAATGAGGACGAATTTTTTTTCAAATCTTGTATCCTTTGTTATCAAAACTTGAAAATTAGGTAAGTGATAATACATGTTTTCTATGATATCTAACACGCCTGTGGAGGTTGACAAACAGTGGATACTAATCAAAATCAAATATCAACTTGCGTGTTTGACTCTAATTGCAATTTGTAAAGTGTCTTAAGTACTTTGATAGCGAAGATATTAGAATTTTTAAGTGTTCTCTAAGAGACATGATCACGTCTACAAGTATGGGATTTTCTTTATTATTCCCATTCCTATACTAAAAAAAAACAAGACTGAACTGAATCATGTCTGGCCTTGATGCAAAGTTTATTTTTTACCAATTTTTAAAGAACTTATCTTAAAGCCTGGAAAGCTTTGGAATTTTTTTTTCGGAGAATTATGTAAATTTGTGCCAATGATATATTGCAAATTGTTTTTAAATGTTTTTTTTTGAGAAAAAAAACTTCCAGGTTTCTTCCCAGCGAGGAACCTATGTTTATTGCAATTAATTTCAAATATTCAAATGGGTTCCAAGAAATAAAATTTGTTTATTAAGATATTTTAAATGTTGTAAAGTCATTTTAAAATTACATGCCAGTGCAGAAAGTAAAAGAAATATTAAAAGCTATAAAGAAATAGAAACCATTTCAATGCATTATTATTTAAAATTTCCTTTTTTAGCTGAACTATATCGATTTCCTCAATGCTTTTTAACTATCAAGGTCGTGAAGATAAAGATAAAAAATATCTCATCGTTTTTACTCACCCTCAATAATTTGCTTATCCTCCAACTCAACCACACCCTTTCTAGTCTCTTCCTCTGACTCCACATAAAAGAATATTGAAGCCCCCAACAATAAATATATGGAGAAAAGGCACAACAAAACAAACCATTGCTTTTTGGACATCATTTTGACCTTCCGACTAGTACGTATAGATCACTAAAACCAAGCTCATCATAACACCCCTCACATCAATTCCCACTTTGAAACATTAAATGTGCGTTTTACAATTTTTAGTAGAAATGTTCGATATTACCTCTCATTTTCTAATACCATCGAAACTTAAGTGTGTGTAAATTGCTCATTTATTTAATTTCACAGTTACTGATTTTATCAGGTCCTCAAGGAATAAGATTCGTCGTGATTTGTAATATAAAAACCCTCTTAATCTAATAAGTGGCATATAATAGTTGCGTATCAAAACGTATCAGTGAGAGTTATATACGCAGGTTTATGTATGAGGCATACATACGGGACTTACTGTAGAAATTTCTAGGGAATATATTCAATTAATGGAATTATTATTGACATAGTTATGAAATGTTAACCCAGTTAAATTCTGTCGTTATACAAATTTGGAATTGTAATCTAGATAATTTCAGTAAGAATGCTTTGTGTTTTAATAAAGATACCATCACTAAATAAGCTGCAGGAATTAATGAATATATTTTCAGAAATCAAAAACTGATTTGAACGAAAATTATGAAAATAATGATAATTAAATGGGTGAAAAAATATACTTCGTACGAATCTTAATGAAAGTGTAAAATAAAAGAAAATAATTAATCAGATTTATTTGCTAAAATCATTAATCTAAATTTTCAAAACTGAATAGTTTAATTTTTGAAGAAATCAACAAAAGAATAGTGTAATGTGAATAGATATCAAAAAGAAATCAATACACACTTTGGAACAAAACATGAGCAGAAAATTGAAGAAGGTTATAAATTTCCTTAAACACATTGTAAAACGTCACATTTAACGACCTCAAGTTTTTCATAGACACTTACCAAAAATTAAACAGTTATTCCTATCACGCATAGACTAGACTAAAGACTCATTAAAGTCTCCAAATGCAGCAGTTCCTTGATATAAACAAAACAATAACCCTCAGATCAACAAACTAAAAACTAAAGGCACTGGTATATCACAAAGTTGAAAGGCGAAGCCTTTTTTATGGCACTATCACAGATCTCAGCAGCTTATGTATCCTGCCGCTATTTAAACTACTAACAATAAACACAATCAAACGGATTCGAAGGAGTGGTGAAAACATGCCGGTTATTCCTCATCCGTCCACAAAGCTGACCGCGATCGAAAAAAGCATGTTGTTTCACAAACTGAACCCAACCGACTGATAATGCGCTCGTATTTTTATAAGAAATAATTGGAATTTAATTAACAATATCAATGTAAACACTTGAATGAATCTGTATCGGAGCCATCTAGGAGAAAATACGATACTGCACGGTATTTATATAATGTGGTACCGGCATATCGTGGAGTGAAGAACCTGACGAGTCAATTCCACAACACTTTGTCCGTCCTTGCGGAGCCACTTGGAGTGTCAACGAAGGGGGGAACGAGCTACTTAAAAAATTAGATCAAATAGGATAATAGAGAGACGATAGGTAGCCGAGAATGTGAGAAAAAGGAGGTAAAGGAACGAAACTTCAGTACCGCTCCTGTACGAACTTTTTAAAATTTTCAAAAATTTGATAAATTCGTTGTTAAAATTGTTTTTATTAGTTAAGAGTCTCACAGAGCTGGGTATGATTATAACAAAATTTATTATAGTATTATATAGTAGTATTTTTCTTTATATGTCGGGTATTTTGCCATCTGTAAAAAAATTAATATTTAATGAAATAACTTTTACGCCAAAAGAATCAATCAAGAGTTATTTTTATGAAAATAGTTTTGCCCAGATAAAATTCTCTCACTGAAAAAAAGCAGAAAAACACAAAATAAACATAATTATGTATGTCGCATATCAAAAGTGTTTCGAAAATATGTCTGTTTTCGTCTTCTAAACTGACAATCACAGTTCGTTTTTAGTTATTTTTGACGGTTTAAAATTGCTTGTTTTTGCCTATTTCCATAGTTAGAGATATCATTATGATGTTTATCCTATTGTTACTTACTTCATCTTTTAATATTTCCAGCCTACAAATAAGCTCAATCTCTTTTAATTTCTTTTAAAATTATTATTTTTCATATTTAAAATTTTGGCCGAACCTCATTGAATTCTATGTTCGTTTTTCTAACAATAAGCGTGACAGAAATTTTTGATTTTTATTGTGATTTTTATGCTCTGTATTTTAATTCAATATAATATTTATTGCATTTTCAAGATTATAAGTTTTATTAGTTGTCTAAAAAAATGTCTCACTGATAATTTTTTTACCTACTTTGCTTATTTTTTTCTATAGTACAGTAATATATAGAACCTAAATACTGTTTCAACATAATTTTCAGGGTATTGATTGCTTATAAGTACATTTTTATGAATCTCAATACATTAAAAATTCCATATTTCACCTTTTCATCTTTCCATATTTCACCTTTGATCACTATGATCTTTATATCATTAATTCGAATTAAAATTGGGGATATCTGATAGTGTGAGTTGGTTTCCTATGAACACTAGTTTGTAAAGAATTACCATTCTTTTAAATTATATATCTGGAAAGATATTATCGTTTTCTATTTCCAAAGTAAATTTAATTATCGATTCTTTGTTATTAATATTACATATCTAGAAAAATATTTAATTCCTCAATGCTAAAAGGTGAAACTGCAAAAACATCGTCTACATATGTCCACTAAACAGTGGGCTTTTTATTTAAATTATTAACATAAGTTTCTTTCTTCTTGATGATTTTGAAGATCTCATTGCTACTTCGAAATCTTGCTCGTAACATTCATTATTTTATTGAAAATTGATAATTTTTATACATAAATTTGGTACTTCCATGATACATCTCAAACTGAAGTTAGTTCCTGTTCTCAAATTAATTGTTATTATTTTCTAATTTATTATTAGACTAACAATATCAAAACTCAGCCTAGTAGGTAGGTACTGAAATACCTAAAAAAAGTATTTCTAATAAATTTTGTCAGCTATTTCTAATGTATGAATGTCCAAATAAATTTTCAATAAATATTCTGCCAATTTATTACAAGAAAATTTAATGGAACTAACTACTGTCTTAACGGTTTATCTATTTATGAATTTTTGGTAAACCATAAAAGTGTGGTGGTTTTCTATAGTGGGGATTTAAAATATTTCTCTCATTATCTGAATATCTTGTTCATATTTATATAAAAGCTGACTGCTGCCTATAAATTATATTTTCAATTGATTTGGTTGACTTTATTTATTTGTATAATTTCCTTATAATCTAATATTAAAATTATCATTTTTAAAGTAGTAGTGAAACTTTGAAGAAATATTCATAAATATACTTGAATAATTCTTAACACAACACTCAAAGTGTACTCACTTTATACGAATACAGCGCTGAATATTTACAATGTATAATAATATTTAAATATTTTATTTTTTAATATTTAAATATAATCAAAGACAAAAGTAAAAATGTAGTTTTAGGTAACAGAGTAGGTACTATACATAATTTCAGAAATGATCGTGAAGAAGGTAAAAGTTTCAATTCAAATTTAAAATACATTTTCATCTACTATTTTTTTTCTTTTGCAAGGAAATTATTTTACAGTTTTTAGTGAGGGTTAAAACTTATGTGGACCACCCTCTCTGTATAGCACACCTACTTTGATAGCGAACATTATAAATTGTAATTAATCTAAGCGAAATCTAAATAAGCAGATCGTATCTCACTCCATCACATTGTACTAAAAAAAGATTTGCATTATCACTTCTATCCACAGTACAGATTTCAATTTAATCGTTCTCCAGTACTTATGAATTCTCAATACTTATGACTACGTGGGTATTCATGGATACCCCATCCATAAAATACCTACTTTCATTACTCATGAGCAGTATTTCCGAGCACTGAATCCTGTGTACATATGCAAGAGTGATAAATATGAATACTGAATGTTGTCAAATATTCAATACTTGAGTACCTACTGACTCAAATATGTATTGAATAGTACTGGGTGTCTCAAACTCGATAGTACGGGCCTACTGTGAAGATACAAAAAAATTAAATAAAACTTGAGACACGTGGTGTTAAATGGGATGGGATGAAAAGTATTATCTTTGGAATTTAACAAAAACGACTAATTTATACAAATTGTGAATTTTGTAGTAACGATACCCATTGGTCTTTGAAATTCGTTGAACGGCTGATTTATCCAAATTGTTGTGATTTTGTTCAAAATACTGTAACAGTCTAGTTGTATTAACATTGTAGTATATTCAACTAACTACTTATCAGTTTCCACAAATTTTGACTATTTGAGTAAATTTTGAATATTTAAAAAAGCTAATTGGCTTTTCTAAGTTAATGTGAAAGGAATGAAACAGCAGTTTCTCATTTTGGGTTTGCAACAAATTTATTTATTTATTATCCGGAAAATTTCAAGCAATAAACATAAAAGGATTTTACGTGCAACAAATAATAAAAAAACAGAATGGATTGTTTCACCTGTATACGATGGGACGATGGGATACTTTTACACGACTTAAAACTGGAATTGCATAATATTAATGAGACCTGTTGTGAAGCGAAGAAGAAAAAAACTGCTTCTAGTGGAACAAGTTTTGATTGAGTGTTTGGTTGTATGTTGTATATTATAATAAGCAACAGTCTTGACCTACCGAGTCGCAGGTTGCTTGTGGAATATTTCTTTAAAATTATCTTATAACACAGGGTGTTGACTAAATCAGCAAATAAATTATATGGGGGATTGTTTGAACGATTTTAAGCTGAAATGATTATATAAACGTAGGTATAAATAACGGTTATCGAGGATGTTGAATTAAAAAAAAAAATCACCTTTTCTAAAATACCCCTAAATGCGTTTGATATAGAATGATGAACCTTATGCTAATGATTTGTCTAATTAAAGATAAACATCCACTGAATTCAGATATAAATACGTGTACCAATATCCAAGATATCGGGGATTTTTCACACTGAAATCCCTAGAAATTCAACGCCATTGGATATTTTGATAATTCGATTAGTAACTTTAATTTATTATGGTGCTTCCAGAATAGAGATATAACATTTTATTCAGAAAAGAAATACTATGGATTTAATATTTTTCTAAATTTTCATTAAGTTGTCAAGGACCCTAGAAAATGTAAAATAGCTTTGGAACTTCTCGTTTCTCAAAAAAAGGTTGAGAAAAGATTGTTTATTTTAATTACAACTTATTTTGGTTTAAAACTACCCAAAAAATCATTATAGATATTGCCTGAAAATAGACTATGACTTCATTATTTACAATACAAAAGATTATATTAATTTTAAAGAAGTTGTGTTTTCTGATAATCTTGTCAGATGCCATCTATTAAGTGATCAAACTGTTTTTCTTATGAATATACTGTAGATATAATACATAATGTTTGTCATTAATAATATAATCTTCATACATTGTTAATATTTTATTAAATTTAAATTGATTTAAACTATACGTCAGTTTCGATTTCTCTGAAATCCCATGGCATTTTCAATATGGTATCACTTATTTTACTATGTAGGTATTTGACGTAACGTATTAGTAATAACGATATCCTTCCGTTCTGAGTATAATTTTATCGGTTTAACTTTCTTAGTGTTATAAATAGTAACACAATACAATCATTGGAAAACGTTTTGCTTATTTGTTTACAGTTACAAGCGTCGTCATCCTATAAATAATATCCTTTGATATTTTTTCGTCACTCTGATTGCTATAAATCTGATCTGATCTGATCTGATCTCATCTCATACATATGTACATTAGAAGACCAATGAACAGGTTTTGTAATACTTGTAACATAATAATTTGTAGAGAACTGTAATAGTACTGATAGTACTGAAATTTTTTACTCACCCTGTAAAATATATTTTATCTCTCTTTCTCGTTCGTATTCCTCACCTTCTTCTGTATGCTCAATTTTTTCAAATACTGCTGCCCCACATAACAGATACACAATGTAAAACGTAAGGAACTTAATGCACTGCAATTTTTTCAGCATTCTTTAGAAGCTTATAATTTGTTTTTTTTTTATAAATAAGGAGAAATCTGTCCTGTAGTATCAGAATATTATTTTGTATACAATATAAACAAAATCAAAACACTTGAATACTGATATCCATTATTATTTTTATTATTTTATATTGTGAGCTCAAAGAGCAAGTACATTTTGAACCGAGATAAAGTTTGTAAAATTGCTGTAGATACCTAATCGTAACTGACCTAAAAGTTTTTCAGTAAATGCTTATATAAGAAAGATATCTATAACCACTAGAAAATATACTATACATGATATAGGTACTTACCAGTTAGCAACAATCATTGTACAGTGCG